CTGAGGGAATGATTTTTCTAAGACTGCCTCTTTGTCTTATACCTAACATGTAACCAAAATTAATCTTATGTCTTGAGATCATTTAACACTATCAATTCAATCTGCCTTCCCACAGTGTAATCAGCTTATTTAAATGTAGCTAGCCTCCAGGAAAACAATGTGAACATCTTCCTAGGCCCTAGGCTCCTCTCCAATCAACTTTTACAAGCTAAGATAAACACACAGCTTTAATCTTAAATTATGTTTGTTATTTCTCCCTTGGGACCCTTCCTTGTCCAGGATCCTGATAATGTATGAGTGTCCTGTGCTGTGTTGTCATTGCTGAGGGCACCAATGTCCTCAACAAATAAGCAACAAATTATCTATAGTATATGCTGCAAACAACAGGTGCAGTTAGATTGATAATATCTGGTTTTGGTTTCGTATGTGGTTCTGGGTCAGTAGGGGTCAGAAAGGAAAAATTTCTGATAAGACAGTTGCTCATTCCTTTCCCAATCACACAGCATATACTGTTTAAATAAATAAGAGAGTACAGCCTGGGTTTGAGGAACAGTGCCAAGATAAATCAGAAAAGAGCAGTTCTGAGAACAGACTGGTCTCACTGCTGATTTAAACAACTCCAGGAGTTAGACTTTCTTTTGCTCAGGCACCACCACACTGAGGCATCCACCATGTAAATCTGTTGTATCTGCCTTCCTACGGTGTAATCAGCTTATTTAAATGTAGCTAGCCTCCAGGAAAACAATGTGAACATCTTCCTAGGCCCTGGGCTCCTCTCTAATCAACTTTTACAAGCTAAGATAAACACACAACTTTAATCTTAAATTATGTTTGTTATTTCTCCCTCATGACCCTTCCTTGTGGGTCATTTTATTTAGGTTTATGATATGTTCAATTGTGAAATAATGGCTATACAAAATCTGAACTACAGCTCTATTATCTCAGGGAGTCCTAGTCGGAACCACTAAAGCTAAGCTCCTGCGTGTATATTTCCTGTGTGTTTTCCGAAGTTATATCAACTGACATTCTCATTAGCAGCAAGTGTGTAGAAATGCCTGTATTACTACCATCATCAAATGTGGGTAGTATTTAAAAAACAATTCTGCTAATGTACAACAAAGTATCACCAGATGTACACTGTTCTTCTGTTGTTTTGTTTTAATTAGATATCCAAAGCATTTTACGTTTCATTCACAGGGGTTAGTGCTAACTTACGGTATATGAGTTTTTTTTTTTATATATGCTAATGACATTCTGTTAAATGTTTTGAGAAAAATCTATGGCTCTTCAATATTTTTTCATTGTTTTTCTCTTTATAAAAACTAGTATCTAAAATAATCACCTCTAGTCTGTTTTATGCTTTCTTTTTTGAATATTTAATTTTTATATTTTATTCCAGTAGCTTAGAATTGATTATACAGTGTGTTCAGGACCAAACCTGATTTTTCCTCAAGCAACTTAATTTTCAATGAGTAATCTTCCAAGATACTTTACTGGTTTGCTGATTCTAGAAGATGCACACTGTAGCGCAGAATGCCAAGCACAGTCATGGTGTCTCAGCTCTACTAACTGTCCCTTTGAATGACCAATGTCAGAGATACTTTTGTAATTTTCTGTGAATGGAAAGAAGAAAATGCCTTGAACTCAGACAATATGCTTGCAAGAGAATGGGAAAAGAAGAAAAAAAAACGAAACAAAACACCCAAAACCTAGATGTCTGGCTTTGTGAAAATGAACAATGAGCTAATGAAGATGACGTGGCTGGAAGGACCCCTGACACAAGGAATGTCACAAATCAGCTCTGTTCTCACAAATGTAGGTCAGCTCTTTCTAAACCTGGTTTGCACAGGCAGAAACAAAATTCCTGGCCTCAAAATAATTCCAGAGTCTTCTCATCAAACAAATCTTACAGTCTCTGGTGTATTAAAAAAGTAAGTATTTTAATTTCCCTGAAACGAGATGACAAATCATAAAAAAATTATTTAAAATGGAGGTAGAAGAAAAATTTGTTATTTCTCTTCTTGTGCATTCCAGTGTTCCCTTCTGAGTTCGTTCCACGAGTTCCTTAAAGAATAGGGTTAAGCCAGGTCAGGTATGGTGGTGCACGCCTTTGATCTCAAGCACTTGGAAGGTGGAGAATAAAGATTTGGAGCTCAAGGCTATCCTTGGCTACATAGTGAGCTCATGGTCAGCCTGGGGTACATGAGACCCTGTCTCAGAAGAGCAAACAAAAAAGAGAATAGGATTAAATTTACAGAATTTCTGAAGGTAATGTATCTGATTTTTGCCTATTACTTAATACTTAAATATTATTTATGTTTAGGCAGAAAAGTTAATATTGAGTATTTATAGTAATAATTAACAAATCTCATGAATGAGACTTTTTCAAAAGCTGACTCTAACTTCCTTCTGACCCACAAAGTGCAAGGCCTTTCTTCTGCAGCTACTGTCAATCTCTAAAGTTGCTCCAAGATAACGAGGACCATCCAAGGGTGCTTTCCTCCACAGATCCACCTGTTTGTCTCTGGGAGACAGAGGCCAGGAGCTTAAGGCAGTCATTCTCACTCTCTTGAGAAAGACACCTGCTATGTTTGGATCTGATCTGGGTTTCTCTCCCAAAGGGCTCACATGCCCACCGTGATGCTGTCACCTCAGGCCCCAAACAGTAGATCCAGCCAACTCTGAAGTGTCAAACTGAGTGAGAAAGCAAGCATCCCCCTCCTAAGCTGCGTTTGTTAAGCATTCTGCCACAGGTCAAAACAACCAACCTGCGCTCCCAAACTACGAAGGGATGACCTGGTGAACCTCAGAAATAAAGCTTCACAGACACATGCTTGCTGGTCTGTGATTCCCTTCTCCTACTGAATGAATTTAACATGGAGATTCCACGTTCACATTTGGACTCAGCCTGTCTGATTTTTCTCTGACTTTTCATCACCCTTTTGTAATTTTTGAAGCCTTGCCTGGCAGATACATATTTTTATTTTTAAAGATATTTATTTATTATTTTATTTTTGTGTATGAATGTATTGCCTGCATGTATGTAAGTGCACCCATGTCATACAATGCCCGAGGAGGTCAGAAGAGGGCGTTGGATCCCCTGGGACTAGAGTTATGCACAGTTGTTAGTCGCCATGCGGATGCTGAAAATCAAACCTCAGTTCTCTGCAAGAACAACCAGTGCTCTTAACTGCTGAGCCATTCTCCAGCCCATGACACATTTTCTTTCTTTTTTTAAAAAAAACAAACAAATTTTATTTATTTTTATTTTATGTGTATGAGTGTATTGCCTGTATGAATGTAAGTGCACCCATGTTGTGCAATGTCCATGGAGGTCAGAAGAGGGCGTCAGATCCTCTGGAACTGGAGTTAGAGATGGTTGTTAGCTGCTATGTGAGTGTAGGAAATTGAACCTAGGTCCTTTGCAAGAGCAGTCAGTGCTCTTAACCGCTGAGCTATGTCTCCAGTCCCTCATGATACATTTTATTAACAGAAACTAATAATCCAGTGTTGCCCCCACAAATAGAAAGTGCCTAGTCCCTGTGTGCAGAATGACTTGTGTCAGATTCACAGAACAAGCTCACGTCACATATCCACGCACAACTCTGTCAGCACTGGCACGGATGCCAATTTCTTCTCACTGCTGAGACCAAACACCCAACAAGAAGCAACTCTGAAGGGGAAGAGTTTATTTTAGCTTATGTTTTGAGGGGATACAGCTCATTCATGAGGGAAAGTACTGTGGCAGGGCTCGGGGTGGGGCTGTGGCACATGGGAGGAAACAAATAGTTGGGTTCTCGGTGCTCAACTTGTTCTTTCCTTTCACTCAGTACGGGACCCCAGTTTATAGGATGCTACAGCCACATTCAGGGTGGGTCTTCCCTGCTCAGTTAAACCTTTCTGGAAATGCCTTTATAGATACAGAGAGGTGTGTTACTGTGTTGATTTAAAATCTAGTCAACTGATTAGCAATAACCATCACAGCACCATATGACACATTTTTCCCTGGGCCTAACTCTAGGACTTTTGCCCTAGCCTAGCATCCTACTGTTTGTCCCTGTTCAGTGCTCTGTTCAAAAGTGAGGGCCAGTGAGCATACCCCTAGGTCTCTGTTCACAGCAACACCTAAAACTTTTCTCTAGAATGTTTTTTACATTTCTGCAAATTCTACAAGTGACGGACACTCCGATGCCACCTCCTCTGTGGAAAGCAACAAAGTTCCCTGTCCTCTTTGCCTCTAGCGCACAATGTAAATGCAGCACACTTTACCAGACCCATGATGCGCTCCAGGGCAGGTCCCAGCCACTACCGCTCTACGTGTACTCTGTATCTGCACAGCACTGGACATGGAATGGAGTAAGACCCACATAAACGCCATTCCATCGATGGCTCCTCCTCAGGAGCTCCTAGGACAACAATGGAATCGCTATGCCCAACTTTATCAGCCAAACCCAGGACAGGGACAGCAGAAGAGGTATAGTGACTCCGATACCAGTTTATAAAAGAATCTTCTGGAAAGCCTATGAAAAATACAAATCCCTAGGTTCTGCCCTTGCAGAGACTGATTTAGTAGAATGCAAAGCTGAGTCCATTTGATTCTGAGGGAGATGGGGGGCGGAATTTATGGCCAACACTTTGATATACAGTGATGTAGTCACTTGCTTTACAGGGGTTCCAAAGTTAACCTTTTTCATGGACCTAAGGTGTTTTTTGTTGTTGTTTTTTTTTTTTTCCTTTTTTGTAAGTTTCTTGACTTCAATATCAAAGCACAGAGTACAGCAGGCCTATAAAAAGAACCACTTAACAATACATCCAGCCTTTCACCTTAGCGTAGGCTGTGGGAATATGGCATCACATTCCACTCTCCATCTGCACATGGGTTTTCACCTATATACATTTTTATAGATTACTTAAGGTTTTAATTTGCTACAAATAGTCCTTTTTGAGACCACCTCTCCACGAGGCATGTTTTAAATAACTGAAGCGTATAAGACTCCTACCTCGGTCCCGGAGGCTGGCTCTCAATGCTCTTTCCAGCTGCTCCTCCTCACTCAGTCCTGCTGTGTAGACATCATAGTTCCTATGAACGTCTTCGTAGACCCCTGGCCTGCCACCTGGGTAGTGGTTCTGATATCCAGAGGGGCCTGTAGGCACAACGAAATGTTACCGAACACAGTAATAGACATGGCTTGTTTCAGACTTCCTGCTTGGTATAAGCAGAGAGGAGCAAATATCCCATGTCATTATTTTGAATGTAATAATAATCTTCAAAACAAGAAACAATGACACACGGAGAATACCTCCATAAGGGTCGGCATGGACTGTTTTGTCACTATAGTATCCATAGTGCCCATCGTGGACCTGGACATGAATGAGATCTTACATGCTAGCAAGAAAAAGAGATATTTTAGAAAGCAGGTAGAGGTTCTGGAGAAGGACCAGAGTGGGCTCTTCATATATCAGTGCATTTACCAACTTAGAGCTATTCAATTCTTGAAGTATCTTCTGTGAAGTCCTGACTTCACTGGAGAGAATGGCAGGAAACAGTTGAGAAAGTTTTACTGTCTTGAAGCTCTATCCAATGAGGGACAACCGATGTTTAATACACATTCCATAGAGTTTCCATGCTGAGTATCAAGGCTCAGAAAGTAATAAGATTGAGATTTATAAGCCAATTTCTCTACGATTATAACTCTGGCAGACACTGTACTTGCTAATAGCACTTTCAAAACAATTGGTTACTCAATGAAATGAGAGATAACATGTTTATGAAATGATGCTTTAAGCACCAAAGTTATCAATTAACACAATAGCAAAACAAAGTTCACCTTTGTAAAAAAATTCTAGCAAATTTTTCAGTTTGCAGCCAGTCCGTATATGTACTTCAGCTGCTAACTGCTATAGAACTGGCCTTGGGGAGACTTTTTTCTCCATAGATACTGATCTCATTCTGGTGAAGAGAGAGAAGTTATCGCACGTTCAATCTTTTCTTCTGTCTTGTCATTACCACATCCTCTGAAATTGATGTTTCAAGTGCTTAATTAATGTGCTTTGGTTGTTGATGAAAATTCATAACCTTCACTACAAATTGTATATCATCATCTCCAAGTCGTCCAGTGCAATATATGCTTGAGTAACAGCTTTCAGAAGTCTGCGGAGAACAACACAGGTGGGACGAGCACTGCACTATGAGCTCGGCTGAGTGAAACTTCACATTCAAAATTTGATCACTGGTCCTCAAACTCTTCTGAAATTTATTTTTATAGTTACTGTTATTAAAATGCTTAACTATGTATGGTTTACCTTATTTTTAGCTTTAAAATTTAGTTTTTAATTATCATACCAATGAGTCTCCTTATAGGCTTTTTATACATAGTTTTGGTTGATTCCCTATCCTCCTTCCCCCCATGGCTTTACCCTCTACATGCAAAACTGAAAGTGAAAATTTTACACCCATAATTTTCAGTGATCCTTATTTTATCTCAGCCTTATTTTCATTAAAGAATAAAATCACAATACAATGTGTCTCTTTCGACTGACGATTATTTCGTGTTCACATAAATATTTGTCATACAAAATATTTGTGTCAAATGTTGATGATCCTTGGCAGTACAGGACATCCTTGGCAGTACAGGCCCCACGATGCCATTGGCAGTTGTCTCAGAAGAGGAAATGAGAGACTTGTATTCACCTGTCCCACCTTTCCTCCACCACTGCATGATACAGATAAAAAGCCCAACACCTAGCACCACAGCCAGACTTGCAAGACTCCAGAATCATGAACTGCATGAAGTTCTATTCTTTGTGAATTACCCACTTTCAGTTTTGTTATAAGAACAAGAAACAGACTAAACTAATGACAAATTATCAGCATAAAATTCACTAGAGTATGCAATGTTTTTAGTATATTCATACAGTTGTACTATCATCAACACAAATTATTTTAAGTATTCTTATAATTGCTCCAAAAGAAAAGTATATTAACTCACAACCCCCAATCCCTGAGCTCGAGGCAATCACTAATCCACTTTCTATCTCTATAGAAATGTCTATTCTGTACAAATCATATAAATAGAGGCATATAACATGGTGTATTGTATCTTGCTCATTTTACTGCCCATGTTTTCAAGGTTCATGAAAGGTTGTTACAGGCAGTAGTATTTCCTTCCTTTATATGATCTAATGACATCTTTTTATATAGCTAAGCTATAGTTTGCCTATTTACACATCAGTTGATGGGCATTTAGATTATTTCTACCTCTTCTTGGGGTGTATAGTGTATGTGTGTGTGTGTGTGTGTGTGTGTGTGTGTGCACTCCCTGTGCAGATATGAAGGGCACATATGCAGGTCAGAGTTTGGTGTTGGGTGTCTTCACTCTCCACTTGTTTTGGGGGGTGGGGTGGGACACAGGACATCCTACTGAACCTGGAGCTCTCCAATTTGACTAGACTAGCTAGCTAGCGATTCCCCAGGAACTGTCTATCTCCACTCCAGCACCAGGGTCACAGGCACATGTTGTCACACCTGGCTTTTACATGGATGCTGGGGACTGAAACTCAGGTTCTCTGGCTTGCATAGCAAGCATTTTATCCACACAGCTATCACCCCAGCCCTTTCGACTATTTTGAACAATATCACCGTAAACACCTGCCAGCCAGTCTTTATTAGGACATATGCTTGTGTTTCTCTTAAATATATACTTATATATATATATGCTGGTCTGACTGTAATTTTGTTTACATTTTCCAGAATGTCTTCCAATGTGGTTGCACCATTTTATAATCCTACATGCAGTATATGAGGGTTCTGGCTCCTCTATCTCATCATCAACACTTGTTATTATCTATCTTTTTAAATGGAGCTATAGCTGCCCTAGATGGTGTAAGGTGGTATCTCGCTATTTTTATTTTTGACATAGGGTTTCACCATCTGGCCCAAGCTGACCTTGAACCCACTATGTAGCCCAGGCTGGCTTTGAACTTGTGAAACACCTGCTTTTATCTATCAAGTGCAGGAATGTGCCACCATTCTCAGCCCTTTCACTGTGGTTTTAATGAATGATGACATTGAGCATCTTTTTGTGTTGACTGGCCATTTGTAACACTCAACTGGCTTGGTTCTATTTTGTTGAATTCCCTTGAAGTAACAAGTAAAAATTAATATTTAAAGAAACCATAAGTAAAAATGTTTAGGATTTGCAGGGGGGCGGGGGGAGGTGTAATTTTGAAAAGCTTTGCTCATAATGAAGTAAATGAATCGTAACATTACTGATATTCAAAACAGGAGTAGAAAAGTAAAAACTCCAAATCCTCACAGTGGTTCATAATCATTTGGGATCTGAACACAATTGTAAAGATGGACATTCTCTTCAGACTGCTCTCTACCTAACAGAACCATCAGAAAAATTCAGGTTCCACTGATGTGTTGGGAACAACCCCAACATGTTTCCTACCCTGAGAGTAAAGGAGACCGTGACCAAATTACAAATTTTGCTTCTTACACTCTTCACCACACCGAGGAGCTTCAGAGGACAGCAAATGGTCAAATGATAATCATATATGCACTTCACACTATTAAAAGAAAGGGGTAACCACTTTGAGACATTAATATTTATGAGCAAGTCACTGAATACAGCAGAATGCTTCAACAGTCTCAAAATAGAAAAACTGCCCAATTCCCTAAGAATGCCAATTATTTTATTGCAACATGGAAAGCATATAGGGTTATTTTCCCACATGGCTCATTATCACTTTCAAGTCCCTGTGGAAAGTCACTGTGCTACAGAAGGTTTATGCAGCAATCCTACCCCACCCCCTAGCTAATTGGAGACCCAAATATACTGAAGCTTTTCATGACTTGTGTCTACAGATGTTACATGCACCTACAGAGCCCTAATTGCAGGTATGTTAATTACAGTGATTTCAGGTAACATTTTCTTGACACAGCAAAACATTTTGCTACCTGTTACTTCTTGTTTGAAAACAACCTAGCAATACTCCAGTGAAATAAAGTCAACAACGCCGAACATCTGAGTATTATAAAACCTAATGTAAAGCTCGTCAGACAGAACATGGAGAGAAAGGACGAAGCGTGGCATTTTGGTGTCTTAAGTCAAAAAGACTGGTGTGGCCAAAGGTTCTGTATCGCCAATCATGATCATCAACACGATTCCCATCAATATCTATTTATGATGAGAAATGGTTCCCTAGGCACAGAAGTGTTCTATAGTTCCTCTGTGGCCAAATCAGTCAGCTGTTTTAAATCTTCATCATACACACTGGGGGCCGGGGAGGAGACACAAACCTAACAACTGAACACTCAAGAGAAATAAGTCGAAGTGACACCCCATAAGGAACACTTGCTCACTGCTCTTTTCAGTTACATACTTGGGCTCTGTAGTAAAAGCAACTCTGGTTACCATTATTCCCTTAGCTGCCCCATCTGTTCCTCATACACATTCCAGGATTTCATGGCAGAGGGGATCAAGAAACACCACGAAGATTAGAAAAATTGGTAACAGCTTTTTAAACATTCATGAGGTTCTTTGACCTATAAAGACTTCCCCAGCTACAGGCGGCCATATTAAGAATAAATCATGACTTATAAGGATACATATGCTCTCATAAAAAGCCCCCTCAATGATGATAAGCTCAGCCACCTGGCCCCTCTGTAGCTCTATCTTTGAAGAAATTCAATCGTTTCAGAGGAAGGAATATAAATAGGATAATCTTGCAGGGGATCAGAAAGGAAGGTAAAAGGCCTTGGATTTCTGCCTTGAATTCTCTGGTTTGTGTGATGGCTATGGCAAAGGAGATGGCTCTTATAGATGAAGGAGCAAAGGAGCACCTCTCTCTCTCTCCTCTCTCTCTCTCTCTCTCTCTCTCTGAAAGAAAAGTAAAAAGAGAAAAGACAGCAAGCAGAACTGCATTATTTTATAAGGTTCAGTTGTCAGAGTGTGAATCTCACATCCCTGTAGGAGAGAAAAAGCAGGAGCTATGAATCAGGGACTTGCTCTCTGTCCTAGTTTTACCATTAGCTCCCTGTGAATTTGGCCAAATCACTTAACCTTCCTAAGCCTCAATTTCCCAGCTGTCAGGCAAGATGTCAGGACTAGGTAGTCCCTGATAAGCCATGTCTGTATAACACTGCTCTCTGTCTCTCTCTGTCTCTCTGTCTCTGTCTCTCTCTGTCTCTGTCTCTCTCTCTGTCTCTCTCTCTTTCTCTGTGTGTGTGTTCAGGGGCATGTGTATGTGGAAGCCAGAGTACAACCTCAGATGTCCTCCCACCTCAGGTGGGGTCCACCTTATTTTCTGGGACATGGTATCAATGCCTGGAGCTTGTGAAGTAGGCTTCCCTAGCTGGCCAGTGAGCCCCAGGGATCCACCCATTGTTGCCTCCTCAGTGCTAAGACTACTGGTGTGCATCACTGTGTCTGGCCTTTTCTTGTACCTGGGTTTTGGGAATCAAACTCAGGTCTTAATTCTTAAGCAAGTACTTTGCTGACTGGATCATCTCTGCAGACCCCACTGCCTCTTCCTCTGGATATGTACAAAGGTGAGGCCCTGAGACAGTAAAGCCAACAAGAGAGAAACCACAGTGAGAGGTAGGACCAGGATGCTTTTCCAGGCATCAGCTCTTCCTGATCACACAGGCCAGTAAAGCTTCTCTTCTTTATCCACTGAATTCTACTGGAAAATCAACCAAAGCAACACATGCACACATACACAACACACACACACACAACACATACACCCATAAACTACACATGCACAAACAACACATGCACAAACGTGCTCATGTCACACATTTCCTGTTAGCTTTTTCATCACTCTCACAAATGTCTGAGAAAACATCTTAAGAGATGGCTCATGGTGTCAGTCCATGGCTGCTTGTCCCTTTCTTGCTGTGGGCCTGTTGCAAGGCAGAGAGGGAGCAGAAGGGCTGAGCTGCTGGCCTCCTGGACGCCAGGAGAGAGAGAGAGCGAGAGCGAGAGAGAGACAAAACCACTTGTCCCCGTGGGCTTCATTTTTCTTCCCCTTTTATTTCACCTGAGTCTCGAGCTTACTGGCTATTGCTGCCCACATTCAAAGAAGGTCTTGTCCCTTTAGTTTATGAAAATACCCTCACACATATGCCTAGAAGTGCCCTTCAAGACATTGCCCAATCTCATTACACTGACAAGCAAGATCAACCATCATATATATTATATATGTATATAATTCTTTGTGCCAATACTAATTAAGCCAGGAGTCAAAAAAAAAAAAAAAAAAAAAAAACCCAAAAACAAAACAAAAAAACAAGCAAAGCAAGCAAGCAAACCAAAACCAGTAGCGATAAAACAACTCATGGTATGAATCCAATCTATGGCCTGTTTTCCTAAGATTTTAGTGGCACAAAGTCAGTCTATTTGTTTATGAACTGCCAATGCCTGTTCTCCTGACATAAGGACAGGCTGACTGGTTACAACAGAACCAAATTCTAACGCTGTGACCACAGTAGTCCTGGACTGGGAACTGAGGGACCTGGGTGAAGTATCTGACTGGATATGAGAGACCTCATGCCTATCATAGAACTGCTTTATGCCAGAGGTACTACGTCCCCCAGTCTTCCCTACCAACCTACCCAAATATACTTCTGGGTTACCTTTGCCCACTTAGCTTCCAGGAAAAGGCAAGGCACAGTTATGTAACCACATCAAAAACTAGTTTCATCTTAAAGCAGCAGTATATTGGTGAATACCAAAAATTTAAAAATAAATTGAAATTTATTTCTTTAAAATGAACTGCTTACCTGCACTATTAAAGTAGTACTGCTGGCCCGAGTAGCTGATATTGGAGGAAAAAATGCCTAAATGTGAAGGAAACAAACATTTTAATGGTAGTCATAAGGTTCTAACTGCTGATCTTTCCAACAATTAAGTTCTTTATGCATGCACCGCCATGCCATGCCTTTAATACCAACAGAGGTAGAGGCAGGTGGATCTCTGTGAATTTGAGGCCAGTCTGGTCTGCAGAGCAAGTACCAGGCCAGCCAGAACTACACAATAAGACCTATCTCAAAAAAAAAAAAAAAAAAAGGTTGTATGTGACAAAGCCCAGGGTCACTTTAAATGACTTCTAAACCATTGATAAAATATATTTCATCTGCTTAGGGAACAGGACATGGGTTGTGGGTAAGGGTCAAGGAAACCCTAACTGACAGTGACTGCAGTTCCTTATAGTCTCTGGCTGACCTCAGCTGGGTTTTACTTCTCGAGGGAGGCTTGGGCTCTGGAGCCTTTACAAAAGCAGGTGCTTGGTGGACAAGAGCCTTTTCTCAATGAGGGTGTTAGGAGAGCCTTGCTAACTACTCTTCCTAGGGAACTTTCCCCTTCCTTATACCTGTAGAAGGTTCTGGGGCAGTCATTTCCACACAGGTGAATGGAGAGCTGGTGTGCCCCAGCATGGCCCCTTCTTTCAGGAGCACCAGAGAGCAGGCTCCACACTGTTTCACACAGGCTCTGCGGTCTTCAGTCTCAGCTCACTCTCACCCTTTTTCTGCCTTCACCAGAAAACAGGTGGTTCTCGGGCTCCTTTTCGTATTTAAATTTTCTCTTGTGTTATTTTTAAAAAGACTGAGGTAGCTGGGGGCATGGTGGCACACACCTGTAGTCCCAGCACTTGGGAGGCAGAGGCCGGCGGATCTCTGTGAGTTCCAGGCCAGCCTGTTCTACATAGTGAGTTCCAGGACAGCTGGGGCTACAGGGAGACCCTGTCTCAAAAAAAGACAAAAAAAAACAGAACAAAAAAAGACTGAGGTAAACATGCCTGCACAGAAAAACAGGTAGATGTTAGGGAGGGCAAAAAGGAATTTAAATGTTACAGCTATGAGGAGAAATCTTTTCAAAAGTTAAACCAATCACATGCTTAAATTTTGTATCATAACTACAGAAAGCTTTAATAACCACCAAGTCCTACGGCACAGGAAAATGAAAACAAGAATGCATTCTTCTCCTTTACCAGAGTTGTATTGTTAAATTGTGCTGAAAATATAATAGAACTAGACATTTTCAATAAATAAAACTCCTGCTGCTCCCCTATGCGCACACAGGAAATACAGTAATAGGCAAATGCAGGAAAATGGGAACCCGCTTAGATGCTCACGCTTAGCCTGTGAGAATCACCCCAAAGTGAACACAACCTGCTAATAAAGGTGATGGGACAGTTCTCAGAAAGCTTTCCAATATCATGAATATTATACGGTTCTCAGGAATACCAGTCCACTGCATGAACGGTGAAAACAAATTATTTATGGTTCAAGAAAAGGTAAAATAGTCTCAAAAGATTTCCCATGAATAAAAGATGAAATATTAGAATGTACACGGTCTATAAAACAAGTGCCTTGCAAAACAATTTCCTTGCAAGTCAAAATCAGTATACTATTTTATATTAAAGGGTCTAAAATGCAATTATTACTAAATAAAACATTTTCATTGAACATCATTTTAACGGGAAAAAGAAAACAAAAAAAAGCACAAAAGCAGGAGCCAAGCTTCAAGTGATGACAGACTTGGACTGGCCTCACGTGAATGATCCAGTGACCATTCTGAACTCTTTCAAATATGGGCCTTGTGCTTCAGTCTAGACTAGGCTTTCTTTTGTAACCCTGTCATGTACATCTTTTAATTCAAGTAATAACACAGAAGCATTACTGTAAGATCACTTTTTTGAGGAAAACTTCAGTTTTCTAGGAATAGCATTAGGGCCGAAGGTCTTAATACAGACAAGCATTTGTTGCTTAAGAAAACACTGGACTGAAATTTGGGGTTGCATCCTCTTTTATGGAACAATGTGAGGAACTGTAGTGGCTGTCTTGCTATCTCTTCAATTAAAAAGAAATGTGAGGGGATAGAGAAACGCCTCAGTGATTAAGAGCACTGGTTGCTCTTGTGGAGGACCTGGGTTTGATTCCCAGGACCCACATGGAGGCTAACAACTGTCTGTAACTCTAGTTCCAGAAGGAGAATATGACGCCCTCTTCTGACCTCCGTGGGTACTGCACAACATGGGTGCACTTACATACATGCAGACAATACAGTCATACACATAAGATAAAAATAATAAATATTTTTAAAAATGTGAGTTTATTAGGAAATTTCTAAGCTGAACAGAAAGGAAAATTGAGGCTGCTTCTGTTCACACTGAAAGGAAGATGAACTGCCAAGTGCTGTCATGCCCAGGGTGTTTGTTCTGTACCTGTGCATGCTTCCATGAGTTTCTTCAGAGGCCCTTGAGTGTACATTAGTCCAACGAGAATCCCAGCCAGATGCCCAGCGAAGGAAGTCCTAGGAGGGAAGGAGAGCCTCTGTGAGTGTCTGTGCTGCTGACTGCAGACACTCTATTTTCTCATTAGCCTAGTGCATGTCAATTAGTCAGTCTGCAGGCTTCGTTCCACATCAAGTCTTTTATGCCGAGCAGCACTTAACTCAGTCCAAAGAAGAACATTTCCTACCTTTAAAAAATGACAAGAAAAACAATCTCCACATTTTTTTTCTTTTTTTTTTTTGTCTTTTTGAAGCAGGGTCTCCCTGTAGCCCCAGCTGTCCTAGAACTATGTAGACCAGGTTGGCCTTGAACTCACAGAGATCCTCTTGCCTCTGCCTCCCGAGTGCTGGGACTACAGGCTTGTACCACCATGCCTGGCTACAACCTCCACATTTTTAAAATGCAACACCCTTCCTTCACCAAAACAAGTGGGCTGGCTTCCTGGAGCAGTGGAAACCTTCTGTCAAGACAAGCCATATAGTTACTTCCAGTTCTTCTCTGCACCTCTTATCACAAATATCAATGACATCAGTTTTCTCTGTTCAAAATTTAATGTGGACTATCTAGCCATTGTGAGGGATGATGTCTGTGTTCACAGCACAGCAGACAGCTGCACACTTATACATGACTGAGTAGTAGAACGATCAGTATTGGAAACTCAGGACAGACGTCCCCATCTTCGCATCCCCTCCCATCCAGTTTCACAAAGGTTTTCCTGTCACTCAATAAAAACAATTTAGACTTCAAACTTGAAAGATGAGTTAGGGCACTGAGGTGGTTCCATTCTCCCTGACTTAGCATCTAGGACTGGCAATCACTTATAAAAAGTATTTCCACATGCACAGATCTATCAAAGTGGCAGCAGTGCTAGGGACCTGAGGGCTGGAGATGGTCTCTGTGAAGTTCACTAACTGAACAACCTCTCAGCCCACGTTTAAGAATTACCAGGCATTTTCATGACAGAACATCACATTTTAACACAAAGATGGGTCCCACAGAGTGAGTTCCTCTTCAATCACCTGACTGACTGCCAGAGGCCTGGCACCATCTAAATATGCAACTGCACACACACACCCCTGGCACCTTAAGCTGGCCTTTTCTTGGGTCTCACTTCCATATCAGTTGGTAGGCTCCATCCTGTAAGGCTTATCCCGTCCACCCTAGCCTTTCAGTTCTTTCCACCTGAGCTATGCTTGTCCCGGCACCTGATTCAAGGTGAGCCCCAGAAGAATACACGCTGAATGAGTAAAAGAAAATCAGCCAGCTGATGTGCCACTCAGAACTCGCTTTCCGGTGATTCTGACACATGGCATTCTGCTGTCCCCCTAGAACACAGAGCCTTCCTCTGACACCCACTGACTTCTTTACAGAATACCAAGTGTGTACTTTATTCCAGTTTGTTCCTTGTGCTCTTCCCTCGGCCCCAGGACCCACCATTAGTATCTCCACATATCCAGGCACTCTGTGACTGTAGTCCGAACTCAGCTGCACCTCTGTCACCGAGATCATGCCCCAGGTAAGATCTCACTTTCCTTCTGCTGCCTGCCCTCAGAACTGCGGCACCTACCTTCATGACAGCACACATTCACCACACACATTTGCTAAGAGTTACTTTAATCAAAAATCTACCTTACAGCATGCAAAACCTGATAATAAAAATATGGGATTGTATATTTGTTTTCCATCCTTGGGCTTTGTTTTTTCAGAGATACCCCCCCACACTTCTCCATTGTATTTATGTTATTCTCTATTCTGCCAAAAAGAAAAAAAAATTAAAAGCTCCGCCTAGTTTTAGAAATGAGAAAGTGGTAGTTCAAGGGGCACATGAGGCCAGCTTCAATTTAAGAACAACAAAGTTAGCTTCAACTTAACTGAAACGACATTTACTTTTAAAAAAATCATTATTTTTGAAACCTTTTAAACAAATCTCTTCATGGTCAATCATATAGGTATAAAATAACATGTAAAAAATTTTCCATTAAAACCCAACCTATTAGACAATAATTCTTCAATCTTGGAGTACAATACAGTAAAATGAACTTCTCATTTTTCTAAATGAGTTTTCAGATGTTTGCATTATAATCTAATTATCCTAATATAATGGCAAATAATGAGGAGATCACACTGCATCATCATCCAACCCTGAATGTTTCCACAGAGATCTTGCTCAAGAAAAGTAGTTGTTTTGACTTCATTATATACCGTAAAGGTGTTCATTTTTAATGTGAAAATAAGTAGTGATTACAATCATAATTAAAATTAGGAATCTGACATATACATAAGGGAGAATTCCCAAAAGAAAAGAGATAATCACTACTTTAAGGACCATGGTGACTTTTCCTGCTGTTTGTAGCCATTTAGCAGAAACTGCCTTCAGACTAAGACACAGGTACCCTAAATGAAGAAACAGACCACAGGCAGGGGAGACTGGATCAGGAGAGGGTCTCTGGGAACAGATGGAAGCTTTGGACTCTAGGGAAAAGGCTGCACAATCTTCAAATATATCAGTTTTGAAAACAGAGTGTACTACTACGATGTCCTAGTTACTTTCCTCGTTGTTGTGATAAAACACCTGACTGCAACAATTTAAGGAACGAAGGGCTCATTTCCGTTCACATGCTGAAGGAAGTCACGGAAGCAGGAGCTTGAGGCAGCTGGTCACACTGAATCTACAGTCAGAAGACAAAGTAACGAACACCCACAGTGAAGGTGAGTCTTCCCACCTCAGTTAACCTTGCCTAGATAATCCCTCAGTGTGCCCAGGGACTTCTCTCCTGGAGTCTAGGTCCTGTCAGGCTTAACCATCAAAATTCTACCCCTTGTCAACTTGAAACTTATGCACATTATTTTAAAGCATAACCGTCCTCCTCTTGTTCCCCCAAGTTCATGACCTTTCATAATACAGTACATATTTAGTTCAACTTCAAAAGTCCCCATAGTCTTTAACAATTCTAACTCTATTTAAAATCCCGAAGTCCACATCTCATCAGAGACTTAAGGCAATCTCTTAGCTGTGAACTATAAATAAAAACAAGTTACACATTTCCAATATACAGTGGCTCAGAATAAACCATCCCCATTATCCTGTATTCAGCCTTATTCAAGTTCTCAGAACACGGGCAGAATTTGTTCAGATTCTTCACCAGAAGAATACCACAAATGGCCTCTAGTCCAATTCCAAATAGTGTCCTTGTTCCCCTCTGAAACCTCATGAGCTAAGCCATCATTTTCCACATTTCTCTCAGCAGCCTTGTCTTCCAAGCTCCCACCAAAATGGCCCATTAAGCTCTACTTACAATATTCAAAGGCTTTTCTAGCCCATTCCTCCAAACCAGTTCCAAAGGCCTAAGAATCATATGGTTGGGTTTACCACAGCAATGGCCCCACTTCTCAGTACTAATTTTCCATAGTTAATTTTCCTATTGCTGTGATAAAATACCTGACAAAAATAACAAGAATGGAAGGGCTTGTTTCAGCTCAGCTTCAAAGATACAGTCCATCATGGCTGGGAAACCAGGGTTGCAGGGGCTTGAGGTGGCTGGTCACAGTGTATCCACAGTCAGGAATTGGATAGTGAAGAACATAGTGCTCAGCTCCTTTCTCCTTTGTATTCATTGCAGGACCATGAAATGGTATCAGCCACAGTTAAGGTGGGTCCTCCCACCTTATGAACCTACTGTGCAGAATCCCTCACAGGTGTGCCCAGAGGTTTGTTTCCTAGATGACTCAAGATCTGTGAAGTTGATAATCAATATAAACCAACATAATGACCATAATAATTACACTCAACAGAAGTTGAGATCTCAGGGCAGGCTATACACAGAAACTGACCTTCTAAAAGGGAAGTGAAAGCAATTCATCAAATAGAGACCAGCACTGTGCCAAGGTGGTTATATAATCATCTGGGAAAACATTTTGTTAAACCGCATGTGGAGCCTCATGCCTGTAATCTCAGCACTTAGGAGCCTGGAATAGGAGGATTTCCATGAGTTCAAGCCTAGTGTGGGCTACATAGAGAATTTCAGCCCATCTTGGGCTGCAGAGTAAGACACTGTCTCTAAAAAGAAGAAATGGAAAGGAAAGAAAAGAAAAAAACAAAACATTTTGTTAGCACTCAAATCGGTATAAAAGGAAGCCTCATCCTGAGTCCTTTAAGTCTGTTACTATTTGGCCCACGCTCCCTGTACCTTTGCTTCTGCCATGGTGTCCTCATGTCTAGGTTCACTTTCCTCTTAGCTAAAATTTGAATTTCAGAAATTCTTTCAGTTATTGTTTGAGAATAAAAAAGTCCTTAGTGTTTGTGTGTCCTAAAAGATCTTTACTTTAGCAACCTCTCTCTATGCTAAAGACAGGATCTACACTTACTGATAATAAATGAATGTCGATTAGGAAGTTACTCTGTGGGCAATCTGGTTTTTCTCCCAGCTTTTAAGATCTTCTCTTTGCTTTGGACATTCTGTACCACAATCATTCTAGTCACAGATTAATTTTATTTAGCCTGCTTACAATCTGCTGTGGTTTTGAATATGAGATCCTTATATAAGTTTTAAAAATCAGCCATTGGTTTTTGTCCTTTAGATACATAGCTATTGTATAGTCTTGACATGTATTTAAATGCAGGTTTGAGGTAAAAAAAAAAGAGGAAGGCAAATACTGACACCCAGAACTGTCCTCTGACCTCCACATACTTGCCATGGCACCCAGGTATATACACGTGGTGCACACATATCCATCCACATATACAACACTAAATGCAGGTTTGAGGTAAAAAAAAAAAAAAAAAGATGGAAAAGTTAAAATGAATGTTGCTACATATTACCCAGAAAGGATGATGGTAGTAGGAAGGTAACTTTTGAGCAAAATTAAGATAGTATGGATTTCAGTTATGTAAGCTGTATGCGGACATCATTAATATGCTCTTCCCTACAGAGTCAGCACAATCTGATCTTCACCCTTTAAGAGGCCAATTTTAAGGGTGAGCTAAACGACTATTCAAAAATGCTCTCATGTGCTGCCGTTT